AAGGTTATGGCGGAGCAGATTGGTCTTTCAATAAGAAAGCTCCCAAAAGATACTTTGCTTTACCCAATTATAGGTCAAACCAAAACCAGAAAGCTTTTGCTTACCTGATTGAAGGTCAAACACAATGTCACCGTAATCTGATATAACATCATGCAATTCTTCACCAGAAAGACGCGACGATGCAATATCTTTTTCAACTCTGCCAACAAAGAAATCTTTTCTATTCTTTCTGTACCTGTGATTAAATGGTAAGAAGCGACAGTGATAGTAAAAAAAAAGAAGCTTTACCTCCGTTTGCTAGCGTGAATACCTTATTGTTTTTCATGCAGTATGGACATGCGAGTTTCTCATGCATGCTCCAATTAGAAAGCATTCCATAAGCTGGAAAATCATTGATAGTCCACATCAAAGTCGCCCTTATAAGGAAATTTTATTTCCTCGATATATCGTAAGTCAGAGCTTTAGAAGACCATAACTGCGACAACTCATCAATCAATGATCGAAGAAAAACATCTATATTCTGCCCCAGGTTGCTTGGCCCGAGTGTGAGAGTAGATAAAAACATGAACTCCGGCCTTATACATATGTCCAATGGCAAGTTATAAATTATAAGTATGACCTACCAACAAGAATAAGGAGCAACAAATGACCTGAATGGGTTGAATCCATCTGTACACAATCCAAGATGCAAACAAGGAGAAGAAAACACTCTTCTCTACTTAACTCATTCTCACTCAAGCTCTCTATATCTTCTTCTGCCCTTTCTACCTTCTCAGCTCTTTATTGAGACTGTTTATAGACTAATCTAAGAGCAGGGGGCATAAATCATGGCATGATTTATGCTACTATTGATGCCTTAAATTAAGCTTTCACCTTGTGCTAAGTGGAAGATTAGTTATTCTCATTAGTATATGGTGGAAGTGGGGCATTGTTTATCTCTATTTTACTAATAACCCATTCCTGATCTTACGAGTGAACTTTTTTCTAATCTTATGAGTGAACTTTTTTCTGGTGTGAAAAGAGAAATAAATCCCCTGAACCTTTCCGTATTTTATTGCTAGAATTGATATAATTTTTCTCATGTTTTCTTGGCAGCAATGGATATATCTTCCGACCTTTCAAATTTGGTAGGACTCCAGTATCAGTGATTTCTGCTGGAGTAAAATTCATATTAGATATTCCCGGAACCCTAGAATATTTGGTAGATATCATCTTTTTTTCACCCAATTTATCATAAGAAGCAATTCAACTTCAGCTGTCCATATCAATTATAAATATACAGAAAACTCAGGGCATTTGTGTTGCCGCTTATAAGACCAATGAGTTTCCTGTATTTTTCACGGAGAGAAGTGGTTACAAGGTGCACCCTTTCTTATGGCTCATATTCTCTTTTCAAGCTCCATCTGATTTCAACTTTCTAATTTATTATATAATAAATTACAGGTTTTGTTGATGCACTCAGGCTTACTAAGTCATTTCCCCTCCTTTTTTACGATTCGCTTCCGACCATGCTTAATTATATTGAAATGTATCCTAGTTATTCTCTTATCCATTCATAAATGCTGTGTTTTTAATCGTGATTACTCTTTTTATTTATTTTTATCATTTTATCATAAAAAAACAAATTTATTCTATTCCGTCGAGTCAAAGAACTCAATTATGAGTTTTTGTTACTGTTTTTGAAGCCTTTATTTAATGCTAAGATTTTTTTTTTTCCCCCTAGCTAGCGGTGTAGGATAGCCAGTAAAAAGAAATATATCGTACTTGAATTTGTACTCCAGGGAGAAAAGGACTTTTTTTTAATATATATTTAGGTTTGATTTTTTTTTTGTATATATCTATAATTTTTGATGTTTTACTTATTTATTGAATTTGTAAAATGTACATAAGTATTTGATTTGACCTCTATTTGCTTTTCTGTTTCATGAGAGAAAGGTAGAAGTTTTATAGCCTTGTCAAGAAACTAAGATGTGCAGGGGAAATGCAAAAAGAAAGTGCGATCAGTGCATAACCGTAAGATAACTAAGGGAACCAATCCACAACAGAAACCAAACTTCAAAAAGAGCACACTGTAGAAATCCTGATATGGATGCACTGTCCTCAAAGCAGCAATCAATCAATAAACACCCATAATCCCACGGATAAAGGATGTTCCAAGAACTCATAAGAACCGACAAACAGGCAACGAGGAGAAGACGAACGTATAAGGATATCAGAGCACCAAAAGATCAGACAAACAGGAACAGCAAACCAGAAGGAGAGCAGTTCGTCAGGGACACAGCATGAAGACCACACAAACCTGCATATATATCCAATCAAATCCATTTAAATTAAACCAGCAAGATGGTCTCAAAGAAACCAGCATAAAAGAACAAGGAAACAAAAGATAACGAAAAGAAAGCAACAAAAAATGGGCAAAAAGAAGCACCAGCAGGAACAATGACAGAGAAATAGAATGAACAGAAAAAGGGAGGCATGAAAGATCGAAGCAAATGAACCCACCTACGACCAATGAGCCCGACCTAAGAGGGAGGCATGAAAAGATCGAAGCAAATGAACCCACCTACGCGATCCAAGCTAAAAATAAAAAAGAGTGAGGATGTGAAAGCATGGGAAGCCCTAGGACAACAGTAGCATGGTTTAACAAAAAAACCAATGAAACAGGACCTGAAAATTGAAATGATTAAAGGGCAAGTAAAGTCAAACTAAAATGAACAATAAAACTAACCAAGCCAGAAGAGTGCTGAAAATCACAAACTAGTCAACGACCACACAGCTTGTGAGCGCAAAAATAAAGAGACCTGGAACTGGAATCCCCCAGTCAACAGTCTAGATCAAACAGACGTCCAATCAAACCCAATAATCAGCAGCTCTTCCAATGTTAAAGAGCGAAGGGCCCAGCGAAGCAGACATTGCATTTCATGCATAATCATATCCTAGGTCGTTTTTTCTGACGTAACTGCACGACCGAAATAAAATAACCCCACCAACAACCATTGCCAGGTGTCTTTGGTTGGATGGTGTGGTGATTTAAAAAAAAAATGTATTTAGAGTATAGATTATATTTTATGAAAATAAAAAAATATAATAAAAAATATGTACTTAGAGTATAAATTATATTTTATGAAAATAAAAAAATATATGTATTTTATGAGAGTCCCATAAAAATACCAACTATATCTCCGAACGAAACACCTCTACAAAGCCTGCTCTGCAACCTTAAGCCGCTGCCAAATCCCATCAGAGTCAGTGCACAAGAAGCTGAACACACAACACCCAAAACAAAAACGGCCGAGAAAAAGAGAGAGTCGCCACCATGACGGAACCACACTGCACGGTGAATGGTTTGTAATTATAATAGATTTAAAGTATTTTTATTTAAAAATATATTAAAATATTTTTTTTATTTTTTACAAATTATTTGTTATATTAATCTATCAAAACTATCAAAAATTAAAAATTAAAAAGATAGTAAGAAAAAATCAAAATTTAAGGGCTAGAATCATCCCACAACCGTGGAAAGATGAGGCAGCTAGATGTACTGTGCAGTTCCACAGTTAACTGAGTTCTGGAAGTAGTTTTTGTGTTTGCCGAATAAACCGTGATTTCTCAAATTATAATCTTTTTTTTTTAATCTGAAATTATTTTTTTTTATTTTTTGAATTGTTTTGATATATTAATATTAAAAATAATTTTTTTTAAAATAAAAAATATTATCTTAATATATTTTTTTGAAAAAACAATTTATTTAAACACTCTGAAACACCCCTTATCTACAGTATCCACGTAGTATTTTTCCATACTGTTTAGAGTTTTTTGTTGTTAATTGTTCACCGGACAGGAAGTGCCTCTGATAGAAAAAGAAAAGGAGAAGATGCGCCATGGTGCCCAGAAAGCAATAAATGGTTCAACAACTGGATTAAAATTCACAAGTTGATATTATTATTTTTTGTTCACCCAATATCAAGATTTGTCCCTCTTGTGAAATGAAAAGTGGAGACAAGCAAAGAAGCTTGTTTACACATGGTACGTATATATGTAAATCTTAATTTCCCTTACTATCTCCCCCCCTTTCAGACATGGAACGGCAGCCGCCCAACATGTTCTACAAGATAAATAAACTGACTCGGCTTCAATCTCTCTCTCCCTGCTTCTGGCTTGCCTGTTTGGTAATTACATGATGGAGCAAGAAGGGTCCTGATGGGGGTGAATCGGATAGACATAGGTCTGAGGCATGCCTCCACCATACACGGGCCAAACAACCGGCTGCACTGCTGGCTCTTCTTTCTTTTCTCCCACAGCTTCTACACTTGCTAACTCTGCGTAGCCTACTTTCTTTCTCAGCAAATTTGTAAGTTGTACTGCATCAACCCCATCGCCTACCACCTCTACCTGGCTCTTATCTTCCCCTCCTAAACCAGCAGATTCAACACCTACAGCAGAATCACAAAAGGATATATAAACCCGTCAACAAATTGATCATCTGAATTTGCCCACAAATGCATGGTTTCTATTAGGTATTCCGATTCTAAAACTTGTGTGCATGGAAGGTTTTGTTCACCTGAAAGCCCAACTGCAATCTGCAAGGCTTTGGAGCGGGACTTCTGTCCATTCCCCGTCACCTTGATCACTATCTTTTGCTGCCATAATTTAGCATAACTAATCAATAACAAGAAAGTAACACACATAATATCTTTACGAACAAGCTAGTAATTATATACTTGTGTTCTGATCACAAATTCATACCTTCATGGTCTTGGTTGTTGGAAAGATGGTGATATGTAGGGAATGAGGAGCTGTTTACAGTCCAGGAGACACCAAAAGTGAAGGTTTTGGTCCTTTGGGGCTTTTTGAAGAAACAGAGGAGGGAGTAAATTATTGCTCTACCTGTTTGAAGATGGTAATCTGGGAGGCAGTTTATATAGGAGTGCATGGGTTAGAGTACGCGTGAGGAGATTTCTGTGCAAATTCTCAAGGAATCTCTGATTCCGATTCGCTCTTCTTTCAGTTGACAAAGTAAACACACGGCATTTCCTTTGGGGTCCTGCTTATCAGTTATCAATGACTTAGCTAGAAGACCTCAATAGTTTTAATCACCAAATGAAAAAAATAAGAAACAAGACACGTTGCTTATATGGTAGTTTTTTAAAGTGTTTTTATTTAAAAATAAATTAAAATAATATTATTTTTGATACCAACAGCTAGAATTATTAAAAAAATCAATTCAAAATAAAAAAAATCCATTCTAATCTCTACACAAGGTCTCGGCAGGAAATATTTTCAAAATCAAGCTGGGGCATGTCCTAGCCCGCGTTGCTTTCGGGTCTATTTATTTGAGTTGATTAAAGATAAGGAAAAAAGGGATCCACAGTTCATCTTGCAAACAATACTGAGGAAAGAGTCTGCAGACTAAATCGATTTTTAGTCTTTAAGAACTCTCCAATCACTCCTAAAAGGGGCCAGGGAAAATGTGAACGCTGAAAAATCAACAGCAGAGTTCGAAAATGAAGTGCAGCAACAGGAGAGCAGAGGTTCATCGATAAGGTGGCTATCATCATCAACATTTTTCTTTCCTGGTGTGCGTGATAAAAATAAAAAAACATGTGAAAAAGAATAGAGGACCTACTGTATTTGATAAAAAGCTGTGTGTACGAGTGACTTTCTCTGGAAAGAAACATGAGGGGGTAAGGGACAAATAAGCTAACTTAATATATCGAACCCCTCCTCTGGTGCGGACGACTTATTAGTCTTTTTATTATATCATCGTAATGCGATACATTACGGGTCAAATGAATTTTTTTTAACATATAAAAAAAATATCAAGGTATTGTTGACTTTTTTCTAGAGTAAAAAATTTAAAACAGTATGAAAAGGTTCTATGATATAATTAATTAGATGAGTTTAAAAATAATTCAAACAACTTATAAAAATATTGTTTAATTTATAAATATTTAGGAATTTTTTTTTAAATAATAATATATTAAATTAATTTAGATTAACCCAGCTTAATTTAATATTTTTTAAGAGTAAAAAAATTAAAGTTATGTGTGAAGATTCATCCAATATGATATAATTAATTTGACAAGTTAAAAGATAACTCAAATAACATGTAAAAATATTGTTTGATTCACAAGCATTCAAGATAATTTTTTTAAAAAATAATAATATTGAAACAACAATATATTAAATTTATTTGGATTAACCCGGGTTAATTTTTTAAATCTGTAATTGGATTGTGAGACCCTGATAACCTTATATAAAACAATTCAAAACAAATTATGAAGTTCAATTTCCACTAAGTTCAATGTTAAATAAAAATAAAATAAAATAAAATAAATTTATTTGAGTTAACTTGTCAAATCTGTGACCTGAGCCATGAAATTATGATAACCTCATGGAAAGTAAACAAAAAAAAAAGCTTGAGTCAACCCGATTAACTTGCTAAACTCACGACCAAGGTCATGAGATAGTGACAACCTCGTTGAAAGTAAATAAAAAACAAATTATAAAGCTTAGTTTTCAATAAACTCATTGTTAAATGTTAAAATGAAAAAATTAATCTAAAAATAGGATACAATAAAACAACCTAAGTCATAAAATCAGGATAACCTCATAAAAGACAAATCAAAATAAATCATGAAATCTAATTCATAATCAACTTCATGTTGAATGATTAAATTAAAAAATACCAATTAAAAAAGTAGAAAAAAAAACTTGAGTCGACTAGGTCAACCCGTCAAACTTGTAACATGAGTTATGGTACCGAAATAACTTTATAGAAAGTAAGAAAAATAAAAATAAAGAAGCTTGATTCCTAATCAACTCAATGTTGAAGGTTTTTTTTTAAAAAACATGTCAATTAAAAAAAGCAAAAACACTCGAGTCAACCGAGTTAACCCGGCTAGCACATCATACATGTTATAAGATCGAGCTAACCACTTATAAAGTAAATCATAATAGATTATGAATACAATCATAATAATCTAAAAATTAAAGTATAAAATTAGAGAAATAAATATAGATTTAGAAAAGAAAAGAAAAAACAAAGTCAAAGAAAACAAAAACAATATTGAAATGAATAATATTTTGTGGGGGAGTGTATAGTAAAAACACATTCTCTTTTAGTGTATATTACTAACTATTTGACCCATGTTCCTCTGTGATTTGAATTTTTTTTATGAAATAATGAATATGAAAGCTTTTTCAATGTGTTTTTTATATAAAAAATCAAAAGTGAAAATAAAAAATAATATGTATACATCTAATAAAAAAATTAAGAACTATGTGCATTAATAAATAAATCAATAAGTGTTCCCTGTCTTGCAGCTCTGAAAGTCTACCTGATATTGTTCCGGTAGTGTAAAATGTGTTCTCTGTAAATTCCAGATTGTTTTGGGTCTATTATTGTAATTTTTGTTTAGTTATTTAAAAAAAAATTATCATGGATGTTAAAGAAAAGAAAAGAAAAAGAAAAAAAAGAAAAAATATATATATAGTCAAAGTGTATAAAATGTATGTGTGTGTTTGAATGTTTTTATGGTTTTTTTGTGATAAAGTTGTAAAGAATGAAGAATGATTTAATATTTTGATTTGCTCACGGTCAATTATGAATTTCTTTTAATATCTAATGAAAAAATAAAATTTTTAAAATTTTTTTAACACATTAAATCAACAAAGCAGCTTATTCAAGTAGGGTGTCTTACGAGTGCTAATATCTGTCCTAACCACAACCAGTCTCTTACCCGTGAATCTCCAACAAAATCAGTACACTGAGGTTTCCTAGTAACTCTTAATTAAATATTAGGTGACGACTCCCAACGAATCAAATCAAGCATAACAAAAAATTACCAACATGATGTCGTGCGGCGACGAGCGACAACATAAATATTAATGAAGGTAAAAAGTGGTTGGGCTTAGGCCGAAAAATTTGGCCCAATAAGGACTAACACATGCATTGAGCTGAAAAATATTTAGATATGTTCTTTAACTTAAACACGAGGCTAGGACTCATATTATATCAGGTATACACCCAACCCTTAGGCTCGACCATAGCACTATATCTCATGAGTTGTTAGGCACACATCTAGCATTTATGCTTAGGACACGTTGAGCGAGCTCATGAGGTGTTAGACACTCATTTAACACTTGTTCAAGCCCAAAAGATATTGGGTGTAGACGGCTCTATAAGAGATCTAGTTTGGGCTATAATTATGATTTTGGCTAAAATTATATTTTTAAAGCCCATAATAAATATATGCTAACTAAAAATATTTTTCTAAAAAAACATTATTATATTTTAAATATTTAATGATGTTTTCAAATACCATAATGAGCTTGGGCTAACCAAAAGTATTTTTTCAAGAAATATATTATTATTATTTTAAATATTAAATCATGTTTTCAAAGCATATAATGGACCGGCTAACCAAAAATATTTTTCAAAACATAAAATATTAATAAATATCAATTCATCATGTGTCAATATCAAAATTAAAAACACTAAAAAAAATAAATTTTTAAAGAATATCAAAAACTAAAAAATTAATACATACATTAGTCGAGTACCCCGCTATCTGCATGCGGGTTAGCACACAATAAATAAATAACTTATACATAATAAAATAAAAATTATTAAATAATCAGTATCATCCCTTTCTAAGGTAGAAACCGTACCCAACTATTAAATAAATTCTAACATTTGTAATAAAAAATGACATTACTGCAGGATAATTTTCTAGGAGGCAAAACTAGAATAATTTCAAATCATAGAAAAAAACATTAAAAAAAAGCTCATATTTTCGTTATTCTAGATTTCAAAATTAATTCCAATGTAATCGAATGATCAGTTGCATGAGCATGAAGAGTACTGGTGGTAAAAATAATTATCCTAACAAAACATAAACCAACTGTTATGCAATTTCTTCTGTTTACGCTTTATGGAAATTAATCTAATTATGAAGCCACTAGCTATTTGTTTTCTCGTCAGGACTCCAACGGATTTTGGCATCTCAACTCCTTATTAGATTCTTGAATGACTATTTATAATACTGTAGGTTCTTGTTTATTTGTCTGATATCAGAAATCCTTTCTCTTTCAGCACTCTAGTTTTAATTCACCCAAGGCATGGAACGGCGAGCCTTTATGCCCTGGCTTGACGTCCTGCTTTCCGAGGGCTTAATTATTTCTTGCTGCCATTCGTATGAGATCAAGGCTTAACTAGTTGTGATTGTCCTCGTAAATTTCACACAGCACTAACATTTTCCTCCTATTTGAGCCCTTTTACGGCTATTTGTTCTTCAATTACGAATCCCTTGTCTAAAAAGGAAAATTTGTTCACGAAGCCGGGAAGATTCGGTCAAATGGTTTAAAGTTCGTATTTTAGTGACCAGATCTTATCCCAACTCACTCTCACTCTTCTCATCTTTAATTCAACTAAGAGCAAATGCATCTTAGACCTGATTCACTCTGATGTTTGGCAAGCACCGGTTGTATTCTTGGGAGGAGCAAGATACTTTGTATCATTCATAGATGACTTCTCTAGAAGATGTTGGGTGTATCCAATTAGAAAGAGGTCAGATGTGTTCGTAGTCTTTAAAACCTTCAAAGAGCGGGTAGAACTTGAATAAGAAAAGAAGATCAAGGGTTTGAGGACCGACAATAGAGGAGAATATATCAGTGATGAATTTGATAACTTCTGTCAACATAAAAGTATCAAAAGGCAGTTCATAATGGCATACACTCTACAGCAAAATAAAGTGGCAAAATGAATGAACAGAACTCTATTAAAAAGAATAAGAACAATGTTGAAGGCTGCAAGTCTAGGAAAGTCATTATGGGCAAAAGCAGTCAATACCGCCTATTATGTGATAAATTGATCTCCATCAACTGCAATTGAGCTGAAGACACCGATAGAGTTTTGGATTAGAAAGCCAGCTGATTATTCTCAATTGCATATATTTGGAAGTCCTGTGTATATGATGTACAATACTCAAAAAGTCAGCAAGCTGGATTCAAAATCCAGAAAATATGTATTATTGGGATATGTTGATGGAGTGAAGGGGTATTGCTTGTGGGATCCCACTACACGTAAGGTAGTCATCAGCAGAAATATCATATTTGCAGAAGATAAAATACAACTAGAAGAACATAATAACATTTTAAATGAGACTATAGCAGTCTAGATAAAAAATACTCAGAATCATACTTCTTTTGAAGTTGTACCAGAGCATGAAGAACAAGAACAAATATAGTATGAAACTTTTAAAGTTCGATGGTCACCTCTTGAAAGAAGACCACCAGCTTAGCACATTGCATATTGTTTTCTAATAGAGGATGGAGAGCCATCAACTTTCCATGAGGCTATCAAAAGTACAAATGTATCTAGGTGGATGACAGCAATGCAAGAGGAGATTGAAGCTCTATACAAGAATAATATTTGGAATCTTGTTCCATTACCACAAGAAAAAAGACCATTGGCAATAAATGGTGTTCCATTACCACAAGAAAAAAGACCATTGACAATAAATGGTTTTACAAGATAAAGTATGATGGCAATGATCAAGTGGAGCGTTATCTTGTAAGATTAGTGATGAAAGGATATGCTTAGAAAGAAGGAATAGACTTTAATGAGATATTTTTCCTGGTGGTACGACTTACTACAATCAGAGTAGTCTTGGCGATGTATGCTATACTTGATCTTTACTTAGAGCAGTTAGATGTGAAAACTGCATTTCTTCATAGAGAACTTGAAGAAGAAATTTATATGCTCCAACCAGAGGGTTTTGCTTCAACAAGGAGAGCTTGGTTTACAGGTTGAACAATCTATATACGGTCTCAAACAGGCGTCAGGGTGTTGGTACAAGAGATTTAATTCCTTCATAATTAGTCTTGGATATAACAGACTTAGTTCAGACCATTATACATACTACAAGAGGTTAGAAGAAGATGATGATTTCATCATTCTGCTGTTGTACGTGGATGACATATTGGTAATAGGCCTCAACAAAGATCAAGTCTAAGAATTGAAGGCATAGTTGGTTAGAGAGTTTGATATGAAGGACTTGGGACTAGTAAACAAGATTCTAGGAATGTAAATTCACTGAGACAGAAGTAAAAGGAAGATTTGACTTTTTCAGAAAAAATTTTGAAGAAAATCTTGCGACGCTTCAACATGCAAGATTATAAGCCAATTTCCACTCCACTTTCTATTAACTTCAAATTATCCTCAAGTATGTCTCCTAGTAGTGAAGCAAAGAGGATGGAGATGTCTTGAGTACCATATGCATCAACAATGAGAAGTTTAATGTTTGTCATGATATGTACATGACCAGACATTGCACAAGTAGTAGGAGCAACTAGTCGATACATGACAAATCCTGATAGAGAGCATTGAAATACTATTAAAAGGATCTTGAAATATATCAAGGGTACCTTAGATGTCGCATTATGTTTTGAAGGATCAGCATTTTCTGTCAAAGGTTATGTTGATTCAGATTTTACTGGTGACCTTGAAAAAAGAAAATCCACTACAAACTATATGTTTATAATTATAAGAAAAGCTGTGAGATAGGTTTCTAAACTTCATACTATTGTAGCATTATCCACAATAAAAGCTGAGTATATAGCAGCTACATAAGCTTGTAAAGAAGCAATATAAATGAAGAAATTTATGGAAAAGAATGGATACAAACAATAGAAGTTTTTTTTTTTTGTGATAGTTAAAGTGCCTTAGATATTACAAAGAATCCAGTGTTTCATTCAAGAATAAAATACATAGATATTTAGTATCACTTTATTTACA